CAAGGTCTGGTTTTTGGGTTTGCGCTTGTCAGATACAGATACCATAAGATGTATCGCATATACACAGATGTAAGTGTAACGGCCAAAAGCGGATCAACTACTTTTCGCCGGCGTGTTAATGAAAAATGCGTTGGCCGCCGGCGGCAGAAAAGGTGATGATGAGGAGGAGGAGGAGAAGAAGGAGTAGATGGTAAAGGAGGTGTCGAGGGGCCAAGTGGAGGAGCGAGTTCATCAACGGAGCAAAAACCTTGTCGCCACAAAATGAAACGTGTTCCATTCCTGGATGTCTGCTGGTGGGGAAGGTGGTAGGGGGTTAAGTCTGCTCTATACCCCTTACTTCTATATATCTGTCACTTAACCCCCGCCTCCCAATCTTTTGGCCACGCACGAAAGTTGTTATCGCTGCCACAGTTAGACACTGAGTCAGTCCCTGACTGCCACTGTTACCCACTAGACAGATAAAATGGCTGGAGTTAGTCGAGAAAAAAAAAAGGGAGATCAAGTACACTCGGAAAATGTGAAGTAAGAAAACAGAATGATTAATTATATATAAAATAACTTTCATTAAGTTTAATCAAATAAGAATTATATTTCTATCAGCATTTTAATTTTGTACAATTTTAAGAACTGAAGTACAAGTCAGCCACCTAAGAGTTGTCTGACTCGACTATATATAGTTAGTTTTACTAATCTAGATAAAGATCTTAAGTTTTAATAGAAGGATAACTTTTATTTTGCCAAGTGCCTGAGCAGAGGGAGAGATTGTAGTAAAATCTAGCTCTTTTGGTCAGCAGGGGCCCTTGCCTTCGGGGCAGGCAGTCCTGCGGGCATTTAAGTAAATCGTTTGCCTTTGTTTTCCCTTTTTTATTTTGGCAAGCATTTTATGGTGCGTTTAGTATTTGTGTAGTCACGATGTCGCTTAATGTTTGCTTTTAATTATCAAATCAGCACATGATCATTACACTGCCGACAATTGCGACGATTATCTCCGAGATAAAGATGATTATAATGATGATGATGAGGCTGCTTCTGCTGCAAGCATTTCCCAAAGGCATTAAATTAAACACTTTATTTGTACAATTTTTATGCATATTTGCCAAGCATTCCCGGGACTGTGACTTAAAAGGCAAATATTATTGTTTGCCCATAAAATCGTAAGAAACCGAAAGGGAGAAAAAATGAGGAAGCATTAAGAGTTGTAAATTTAATATGTTTGACATTTTAAGTGAAATATATTTTATGTGATTCACCCACCAACATGACTAAATTCAATTTCAATTTAACTCCTGACAATACAATTTGCACTCACCACCCTTTCCTGTTCCGCATTAAACAAAAAATGAACATTTTACTGTTTGCTAATCAAATCTCGGCCCTTTTTAGCCGACAATCGATGGCTGTTCCAGGTCGATAAATCAGCCAACGAAGTATTTCATTGTTATCGCCGACTTCCATCCGCTCAAATCTCATCCCATCCGTTCCGATTCGATCCCATACCACAATCCCAATCCCGACTGTTTTCCTTTCACCTTTCGAATTCAATTAACTGCAGCCGAATGCCAGAGACAATCTACAAAATTCGTTAAGCAAATGGCAGAGCGTGGGAGTTGTGTTTTTTTTTTCGCCTCCCCACCGCCGAAACCCAATCGCAAATATTTGCCATCAACGTTTTTGCACGCTAATTTCCTCTGCAAATTTTTGGGGCTCTGACATCACGCGCGCAACGCATAAAGATTGTTTGGGGGCCCGGCGGAAAGATAGATATTTTAAAATGTAATAAAAAAAACACGAAACTGTTGCAGTTCACTAGACACTCGGCTGCAGAAGGGGAGAGTGCTGAAATTTCGTCACATATTTTTGCGTAAATTGCCGGAAAATCGCAAATCATTGAAGATAAACATCCAAGTCAAGAAATGAACAGAAGCCAAGAAGCCACTGGTGGAGATGGGGTAAGAAGAAGCCATGGAAATGTGAAGAAAATGTGGGGGGGACAACCGCTGAACCAAATATCGAACAATGTTAAGCAAACACTCACTCAAACACACAGTCAAACAGAGATTCGGCAAGTTGTGTGCAAGGCGAAGGCAAAGGCAAAGGCGAAAGGCAACCAGCAGGCAGCCAAAAAAAAAGCGATGACGGGAAAACGCTTTTCAAGCACTGAGAAAAATAAAAACAAAAAAATATAAACTTATTTTCACATATTCTAAGATTAGATATTAAGCTCAAGAAAACTAAAATCAGTATACAAGGATAACGTTGGAAAAGTTAAAGAAAAAACTTAGTTTTTATTTTTAATTTTTCTAAGTGACTTTCAGAGGCTCAATTCTGTGGTCGCCGCCTGTCGACGAGCCTTCGATGCCAATAAAATCGGGAAAGGGGCCGAGGAAATGGGCCAAGAGTGCACTCTGGAGGGGCTACGGAGATAGACTAGGCAGAGGGCAAAAAGCAGAGGCTACGGCTGCCGGGGCAGAAACGTTTTCGCAACGCTTGAATTTCCAGCAAAGTGGGGGAGTTTGTTAGCGAAGGGAAAAGGTTGGTGGAAATCTTTTTGAAGGGGGAATCGGTGGGACTCAGTTCAACTGCAACAAGCGGAGCTGTCGTTGCAGTTTCCGCATCGCAATTCGCTCGCTTTCCACGCATCTCTCACTCGCTGAAGCTCACTTCGCAGCTCTGGTAAAAATGCGAAGGGGAAAAACTGAAACTGAAATCCAACATTAGGTAACACAGCATGTATGGGGTCTTGACGTGTTTATAAATATTTATAAAGCCCGCTGAAAGGATATGATTATGCACCAACCTTGAGTGTGGCTCTAAACGTACCCCAAGCTCAGATTCACCTGAGTTTTGGGAACGTTTTTCACAGAGGTTGCGGTAGATTTTAGTCTTGGATTAGACGAGACAGTGGTTAATATTACTAGCTTACAAAAAATAGAAAAATATATAAAAAATAATACAAAAAATAATAATCTTCATCACTTCATCCCTTTAACTTTCATTATTCATTTCAATTTTGACAAGGATGGGATTATAATTTCCGATTATCCCTTCTACTTAATCCACCTCTTTATATCCGGCTCCAGTTTCGACTCCGCCTGGCGTATCTAATCAATTTCGGGCAATATTTGGCCACCTCGAAAGGCGAAAGGAAGGCTGAGATTGGGACCGAGATTGGATTGGTTCGGAGATGGAGATTGAACCCAAGCTTGAGCTTGTAATTTGTATTTAGTCACCGGCTGCTCTCGCTACTAAGGCTGCCATGGCTGCTCCCTTCCAGCTGATTTCACTCGACTTGCAGCCAGATTTCTGGCTCGGCGCGGCTGCTCTTTAGTCTTTAGTTCCTGGTTCGTATTCCTTCCGACATTTCCCATTAAATTGAATTTAGTTTGATTGCATTTGATTGTAGCTTATCAGAGAGATTTATGCTTCGTTAACCGTGCATTGCAATTGAAAGGCAGAGGATGTGGTACAGTGCGGAGCATTTGCATAATGCCCCGATGCCAGGCAAAAGCTCAACACTTTTTAATTAAGCCGTGTATGTGAGTGTGTGTGTGTGTGTGTGAGAGTGAAAAGCGTTATAAATAGCTGTGAGGCCTTGGGCTCAGCCATTTTCACAACTGATGATGACTGCTCCTCGGCGTTTTCTCGACTGATGCCGCTGCTGATGCGGTGGCTTAAAGTGCGCACTCATTTTGCCATCTTTGCCTTTTGGCCATTAGGCAAGGAGCGGCAAGCGGCAATAAGCAAACGGCAAGCGCTAGAAAACTCTCACTTTGGTCTATTAATGATGATTCGCACGGAATAGTAGTAAACTCAGGTCTTAAACCAAGCCACATTTAACCCTCTAAGAGCGAAGGTAAAATATTTTTTCGAAAAATGAGAATGGTTTGAAAATGGTTTTGTTTTTGAGATACTTTCGTTAGTCTTAGGCCAATTCTGATGCATTTCTATAAAGTAATAATAGAATTAGTCGAATAATGATGTACCTTTTAACACCCAAACAAACTACAAGGGTTAATCGGCGACCAATTCAAGCCAAGACGAAATATCATCAACTTGGATAGAAATGATGCCGCGTTAATTGCGGCGGCCTCGAAGGCAAATGCAATTTTGCCTTCACTTTGCTCGTTGAGGCGTTAAGCTGACAGTTGCCCACCTGCAGCCACGCCCCCCTTCCCTTTGCCAGTCCTCTCTTTTTCCTTGCCTCTCTCCCCCTTTTCTCTTTCACCTGCAGATTATCATTTTGGGCCTGGCCATGACGCGTGATGCGTTTTGATAATTGCGTGCCAATGTAAAAGGGCCAAATTGTGTTAAATATATATACGATATATATATAGTATGCAATAATATATACATTGCAGCAACATTGTTCGCCTGGCTGAACAATTAAAAGCTGTCAAAATTTCACTTTACTCGCCCTGGCTTTGTTTTCCGCCATTATCATCAACGCCCATTGCCTTTTGATTGTCTTTGCATTTGCACAATTCAGCGCCAATTTTAAAATCATTTTCACACACGACTGCACCGCAGCTTGGCCCGGAAATGTTTACGGCCAAAAGAAATCAACGCCCACGCATCCGCACCAGCACCCGCACCCGCAATCGAACTCGCTGAGAGCAATACGATATAATACGATAATGAAGTTTTCCAGCTTTCCATCTCTCCAGTTCTCCCCACCATATAAGTCCGGAATTTCCAACCATCCGATCCGATAGGCACGAAGCGTGTTTGTTTATCTGCAAAAGCAGCCAATGCAAATTCAACGCCGAACGCCAAATAGAAATGAAATAAAATAAAATAAAATAAAATAAATTCAGGCCTTGCATGGGTGCTTAATTGCGCGCAACTTTCAGCGGCTAAATTAAACGTAAAGATTGCAATTGTGCAATTGCGAGTGCCGAATGCAGAATGCCGAAAGCCGAAAAATTCAAATATCACATACATAGACCGCAAAAGCACTCAGCTTACTAATAAGATAACAATTTATTTATGTTTACTTGCAGATAAAAAATAAAAGAAGTAAATAATTCGAGCAAAAACAAACCAAAAGTCATTGGACAAAAGACACACCGGAGGCGAGACACCGAGATTAAGCAGGTGAGATAAAGTACGGATATCTCAATATTCTGCACGTATTTGCATGGCTCATCGAGTCAAATTTAATCTGTTTTATTGTATTTGCTCTTTTGAGAGACTCTTTCGTTATTTGGCTATTTTGTGTGCCGCACTCAAACAGTTTTGGATTTGCAATCAAATATTTATTCATTCCTTCCGTTTGACAGACAAACTGGATCAATAGTTGCTCAGCGAACCAGTTTAGCGGCCTTCAACTCCATTTTTCTGACTTTTGTTTGCGATTAACAAGTTCACATTCAAGGAATAATATGATAAAGGTTACCCCTTATCGAAAATGCGAAAATGTGTTATCTCAGATTTTCTCCTCAACATGACAGTATTATGCCCATATCTTAGCCATTAATGGTCGGAATGTGGTATGTAATACCTCGTTGATCTTGTATTTTAATCCATATTAAAAATATCCAAGTAGCACTGAAATCTAGAACAAAAAATATTTTTTTCAATTTTTCGAAAAATGATGATGGTACCCCTTACAAAAAATGCAAAATTTGAGAAAAAATAAACTTTCGATAATCATCATCATAATGATACAGAAAGTTTGTTTTGGTCGTCAGCTTCATAAAACAGTTTTCCTTTTGGCTGTGCCTCTTCATTTAACAAAGTTATAAGCCTAACACTGGGGGAAGATATCGAGAATTTTATTAAAAAACCATAATTTTGATTTGCCGCCTAAAATATCAGTATTTTCCTTATTACAAAGCCAAACATGATTATATCATGGAATGTTATATCTTGTTGAGTTCGCATTTAAATTCCCCGTCGAACAGTGTACCACACTCAAAAAGTGCATTTTTTCAGATATTTCGTAAAATTTAATGATGTTACCCCTTTCCAAAAATGCGAAAATCGCTCTGTCCCGATTTGTGTCTCAAAATATCAGTATTTTCCTCATTACTAAGCCAAAGATGATCGTATCATGGAATGTTATATCTTGTTGAGTTCGTATATAAATTCCCCGTCGAACTGTGTACCACACTCAAAAAGTCAATTTTTTCAGATTTTTCGTAAAATTTTATGATGTTACCCCTTTCTGTCCCGATTTGTGTCTCAAAATATCAGTATTCTCCTCATTACTAAGCCAAAGATGATCGTATCATGGAATGTTATATCTTGTTGAGTTCGTATTTAAATTCCCCGTCGAACTGTGTACCACACTCAAAAAGTGCATTTTTTCAGGTTTTTCGTAAAATTTTATGATGTTACCCCTTTCCAAAAATGCGAAAATCGCTCTGTCCCGATTTGAGTCTCAAAATATCAGTATTTTCCTCATTAGAAAGCCAAAAATGATCGTAACGTGGAATGTTATATCTCGTTGAGCTTGTATTTTAACCTATTTTCAAAATATTCAACTGCCATTGAAATCTGAATAAAAAAATATTTTTTCGATTTTTCGAAAAAATGATGATGGTACCCCTTACAAAAAATGCAAAATTTAAGAAAAAATAAACTTTCGATAATCATCATCATAATGATACAGAAAGTTAGTTTTGGTCGTCAGCTTCATAAAACAGTTTTCCTTTTGGCTGTGCCTCTTCATTTAACAAAGTTATAAGCCTAACACTGGGGGAAGATATCGAGAATTTTATTAAAAAACCATAATTTTGATTTGCCGCCTAAAATATCAGTATTTTCCTTATTACAAAGCCAAACATGATTATATCATGGAATGTTATATCTTGTTGAGTTCGCATTTAAATTCCCCGTCGAACAGTGTACCACACCCAAAAAGTGAATTTTTTCAGATTTTTCGTAAAATTTTATGATGTTACCCCTTTCCAAAAATGCGAAAGTCCGTCTGTCCCGGTTTGTGTCCCAAAATATCAGTATTTTCCTCATTAGAAAGCCAAAAATGATCGTAACGTGGAATGTTATATCTCGTTGAGCTTGTATTTTAACCTATTTTCAAAATATTCAACTGCCAATTAAATCTGAAAATTTTTTTTCGATTTTTTGAAAAAATGATGATGGTACCCCTTACAAAAAATTCCAAAATTTGAGAAAAATTAATTTCTTGATAATCAGCAAACAAATGACACAGAAAGTTTTTACGGGTCGTTAGCTGCACAAAACAATCCTCATTATCGCTGTGCGTCTTATTTTGACAAAGTTCTAAGCATAATGCTGGTAAAAAATACTCCGAATGTTACTCAGAAGTCATAGTCATTTTATGTTTAATATATTTGTAAATTTCCTAAAGCAACGCCAAAAATTGTCGAAATATGGAATGTAATACCTCGTTGAGTTTGTTTTCTAATTCCTAGCCGAACTGCATCATCAGTTATAATTTTCAAATATTTGGAAATTTGGGTTTCTAAGATGTTGTCCTCCAAAATAATGATATGTTCAAAAATTAGCCTATAGAACTAGTTTTTTAAGATATGAAAAATAATGAATTTATTAATAGAATAAACATTATTATTTTATTTGCTATGTTTTATGTCTTATGTTATAAATATTCACTACTATAAAAAGTTATACAGGCTTGCTAGAGTTATTATTATAGCTTGTGCGAATATTTATATTTTAATACAATGCCAAATAGTAGCGGATTACCTTGACTTTCTTTAATTAAAATCAGTGTTGTCAAGAGATCAACATCACTCATTAACCGTGGCCGAAAGAACTCCACTCCTCTTGACCAAAACTAAGACGCGTATTTGAAGTGCGTGGCAACCTCGAAAGTTTGCAATGTGGTCAGTGAAGAAACGCTTTGCCCACACAAATAATTATCGCTTAATAGCCAAAGCTTTTGATGGGGTGAGAGAGGTAGGTGGAGCAGATACCGCAAGGCCAATCAAAGCGTCATTGAAACGGAAACGGAAACTGCAAGTCAAATGGCAGTCGGCCACAGGAAATGAGGCGCACAAGTGCCCATGGAAAAGTGCGGAGATGGAGACCGCAGTCTCAGCTCGGCAACCGCAAATTAACGCGAATATTCCACCAACCCACACCTTCCAAACCGTTGCCTTCTTTGACTATAATTCTGATTCTGATTCGGATTCTGATTCTGATGAATTATTAAACGAGTGTCCGATGCAGAAGCATCGTCATCATCTCCATCCCGAGTGACCAAGGCAACGTTTGTCAATGTCTGCGGGCTTGGGGTTTTCTTCTCCCTTTTTTTATTTTGGCCCTGCCTGAATGAGCGCTCAAATGAACACCGCAATGAATGTGCGCCGCATGACAAATACGTAAAGTTTCTTTTGAAATTAAGCAGCATTTGCTGCCAATTCTTAACTACATCAGCGCAGCGCAAACTTTGTCCTCTCTCACCCTCTGCCAAGTAGTTTTTCCTTTGGCTTCCATCGGTTGGTTTTTACTGGGTGATGTTGGCACGCGGAAAAACTGGACATAGCTTACATCTGGCTTGTAAAACTAATTTTATGTTATAAGTTTTTTATATTCCTTAGACTGATTAATTGTTTATATTTGTTTAATTAAATATAACAGTAAATGATATGTTATTATTTAATTAAATCAATTTTTTCATATTTTTTAATGGTTATTATTCAAAAATATAGCTTCAGTTTATCCTCATAATCATAATATTTTGAAATGCATATTTATGAATTGCATGCGAGCCTTAATTGGTACTATACGATCATAAAACATTTCTTTTATTAAAATTTATATCTTTAAATGAATTTTTCCCTCTGCATCGGAAGCCAAGAGGGGCTTGCTCATTTCAAACTTTTGACACAGAAACTAATTTTGGCAAGCGGGCGTCAGCCAACCGAGACGTCGACGAGGACGGTGAAGAAGTCGCAGTTGCAGGAGATGGCGAAGGAAACCGAAAAGCTGCAAGCGTCTCTGAATTTTCCGACTAACCAAACGCCCTCACCCTTTTCCTTTTGCTGGCTTTTCATTCTTTTAGTGATTGCAATATTTCATTGCCTTTGCGGTTCGTGTGTTGCATACTTTTGAGCGATGTCGCTGAGGTTTGCCTTAATTAATTGCAGCCACTAACCCACTGCCGCGCTCCAATTTTTAATCCTCGAAACTCACCAGCTGCATTTTCCCCATATTTCGCCCTGTGCCTTGCATTCGAATGTCGCATTTGACTTTGAATGGCGCTTTAATTGTCATTTGATGTGATTTATACCACGAATTCTAGGAGCCGCAAATTAACGCTTTGCTGGCACTTCACTTCTCTGTCAAATCAAACTCGTACCGCCGTCCGTTGATTTATGACATTTTGATTAGGCGATAAGTGTCGGGAGTGCGGCATTTGTATCCTCTGTATGTGGTGACACCGAGGGGTTATAGGCCAGAATCCAAAGCAGCTGAGTTAGGCTTTAAGCACTCTGCATATGCAGCAATCAATTCAATTTGCCTTTGGCTTCGCCAATCCCTGCCTGTCTTCAGACCACACCAGAGCTCACCTTAATATGTTTCAATTTCATTGTGCAGTCAGCAAAGCCCCGGACTTGTTTGAAACTGCCTGAGCTGGAACTAGAGCACACTTGTGCATAGGATATGTGCAGGCAGATGGAGAGGAAAATTTGTACAAATATCCCTGGAAAATAAGCCATTAAACGAGGCCAGAAAGTGGCCATTGAATGTTTGCCCATCATAAATTGGCCAGAAATTGCCTGAAAATTGCACAGCAAAAAAAGAGTAGAAAACGGTAATAGAAGTCACAAATGGAAAGCAGCTACTTGAAGTACAATTATTGGTAACTTTGACATCTTTAAGTCTGTGTTTTTTGCGATGAATGGCTTTAACAAGATGATCTTATATTAGTAACCACCTTTTATTAACACCATTAAAACTTTGAATATCTAATAATCGCAAGTACTTTTTCTCTGCATGCAACTCTTTTAGACTCTAAGACCAATACCCAATCGTTTTTTTCCATTTTTGATGCTCGAAAGCTGCTTTTATAAGATAGAGAAATCAATGTTTCTGTGCCAATTACACGGCTAAAATGTTCACACCTTTCGTTAATAATGCAGCTGCGAAATGGAGATGCATCCATCGGATGAAGATGAAAATCCAACTGTGGATACAGTATCTGGCGGCCAAGGAAGTGCGCCAAAGAGCTCAAGCTGATTGCATTTCATTTTCAATTTAACTTACTTTTATTTCGAACTTCTGCTCTCGCTGCTGCTGCCGCTGCTGCTGGTAATACCGCCGTTCGGGCTGCCGGTCTTTGCAATTACCATCGGAGGGCAGACAACAGTTGGAATTACATTTTCAATATTTCCCAGAAGCAGCAAAAGCAGAAAAGCAACAGCAAAAACACTAACATCAGCTTCATTTTTTTTCTTTCATTCCACTCCGCTTTCGCCCTTCGCCTACATTCTTGGGCACTATGGCCATAAATTTTTAACTACAAGCTCTTGAATACAATTACTTTTCAATCTTTTTTTTTATAAATTTTTCTTTTTTTATTTATTTTACCAGCCCCTTCTTGTCTAGTCTGGCTCTAGCCCTATTTATATATGTTCTATAGTTGAACGCGAAAATTGCTTATTTCAACATTCAACTTTGAAAAGTTTCGTTTCGTCTCGTTACGTTTTAAGAGAAAAAAAAGCAAAAGTTTGCCATAATTCTGCCAGAGGTCTATCACTTTCTTCCCCTCCCCGACTATTTTTCCACCTCTTTCCGGCTGTCCCAGCTGATTACTTTTATTTTTGTTGCCGCGTATATATTTTAGCGCTGGAAAAGTAGGTTGAACTTTGTGTTATTTGATCAGGAATTTGACATGATGGTTTATGCAAAGGCACAAAAATATGAAAAAGTTGCCGTGAAATCTAGGCGACATTTTCCATTCCATTTTCTCCTGAGTGCACTTTGAACTGCTGCCCTTTCACTGACAAGGCAGTTATGAAACTTGATCTCGACGATTTGCAACTGGCAAAGTCATTCTCTCTACACAAATAATGCATAATGTAAAAGGAGGAAATAGCTTAGGAAGTTATAGTGTTAATGCAGTGGTAAGAGATAGAAAAATATTTGTTTTTAATATTTTCATAAATGCCTGTAACGAAGAGCAAATTTTTATATTTTTCTTTAAACAAATTATTTCCTTAATTAAATTCCATTTAAAACACCAAAAATTCTTTTTCTCAGTACTGAAAGTCATTATGCATATCGATCATCTAGGTGTCTGCCATCTCAGAGATCATTAATGAATCCTGAAAGGCGTCGCAGCTGTCTCCGCTCGCTAATCCTGCCCGGCACTTATCCTTGGTTGCAGTTCACCCTTTCCTCGACAGGAAAATGCATGCTCATCCCGCAGTTGCTAGCAAATATTTTCAGCTGCTTGGGAAAATACGTTGTGTAATGTCACTTAATCTTTTTATACGCGCCTGTTGAGATATATATTTTTTGTTGTAAATTGCCGGGGCGGCCGCGTGGGCGGATTAGTGGAACGGATTAAGAATGAAAGTGTTTGCAAAATACTAAAACTTTATGACCGGCAGCAGATTAAGAATGAATTGTTTTTTATTATGCCACCCGAGTGGGCATAAGTCAAAAATGTGTAGGTAAGACACAGGTAGTCGTTGTCGATGGTCAAGGATCCCAAAAAAGTCGGGCTCGGGAGGGGTCAGGTAAACAAACAGGCAGCAGGATAGGGTTCCTCTAGGTGCATATAAACTATTGTGGGTGGTGGAAGAGTCATCAATCGTTCAACAAACGTTGTACAAGCAACATCGGAATACATTTTTTTGCAACTGCAAATTATTCAAAATATTAAAAAAACATTAGCTGAAAAAATCTGCAACACTAAGTGCACTGCAAAAAAAGTTAAAGGAAATCCGCAACACACTTTGTATTTTGAAGATAAAAATCTACATAAATCGAGCAAAAATGCCCCGTTACCAGAAACTGATCAACGAAGAAGTCAGCTCGCCAGCAGAAACTATTGCCCAGCAACAGCAGCAACATCGCTATCAGCAGCAGCAACACAAGACGCCGAGCGTGGGCTATCACCTATATTTGTACCGCCAGCAACTGGCACAGAAGAACGTGGAGTACATGAGGTTGTCCAAGGCCAAGTACTTCATCACCGACACTCTCCTGGCCAAGACGGTGCGGAATTTGAAAGGCTGCAGCGTCGACGAACTGAAGACTGTTAATCACCAGATTGTATTCCGGCACAAGCTTCGTCATCAAATCCAAAGACTTCGCAAGCTGAGAAGTCTGGGAATCAAGAATGCCAATCCCAAAATGGAGAGCACGGAACTGTGAGAAGGAGCATCCTGATCAGGATCAGCTAAAGGAAGAGGTTTCTCAAGCTATGATCTAAGCATAGTTAAAAGGATAATCCTCTGTGGGATAATCAATTTGTAAATCTCTTCCTAATTTTAATCTCGTCAAATTATTCAAAATTTTAAAAATAATTTCTAATCATTACTTTAAGTAGCGGGCACTGCATGAGTTTATAAAAGTATATTAGTATAAATTTCGAATTTTATAGTTTATTAAAGATATTAATAAAAATATATGACTAAAAATGAGAAAAATAGTTTTTATTGGAGTTAAAGTGGAGTAAAATGAACTAAAAAAAAGGAACATAATTTTTAACGTTATAAAAAGCATAAATAGTCAAAAGTTACAAAAACTTCTGTGCACAGATAACATAACCAATTATTCAATTAATTAGTATTAAAGAAAACCAATTGACAACACGCATCCTCATGCTAATTGAGTTCAATAAACCGAAATCCTATCTATTAATAACCTAATCCAATTAATTAAATTCTATAAAAATATTTGCAGTACCACTTGTTCTATTTTATGTCCATTACTTTGACCACAGTTGTAAATATTATTTTTGAATACAATTCAACTGTCACAACTCCTGTTGCCGCCTGCTTAAGCTTAGACAAGGACATGAATGTGGACAGAAGCAACCTCAATGAACTATCAACTGAGGCCAATTTGTGGCAGCCACTAATTGAGTTCTCTGGGCAGCATCTTGACACGTGTCAAGACAAATCATCTCAGCTTTTCTGACCTTATCTTTTGACCGCAAGTCTTTAGAAATTTATGAGCCTTTCGGGTGCATTGAACCCGATTGCCATCATCGATTGGCAAACGCATTTTTTTATTTTTGTTGCAGACACAGAAAATTCGCATTGGGAGCTATGAATGATGATTGGGGACTTTTTGGGGCAGCAGTTTTTAATTGGAAAATAATATTCACAAAGTGCTTTACACTTAACTGAGCACCAACATCATTATTTTCACTCAAATAATATTAATAAATGCCGCCTGACCCACGCTATGCCAGCGTAATAAATAAATGGCGCACATAATGCGGGCAGTAAGTCAATTTTATTATTGAAATGAGTTGCGATGTTCAAACAGAAACCTCAGCCAAAGTGAATGTGAGTGTTAACAATTAAAACATACACACATACACACGGGGTGTTGTTTCACATATGCTAGCAATTATGCAGTCTGTGTGGGCGATGCAATTTGCAAACACTCAAAAGTAGGCTATGAAAAATGTCGCACGCACATTAAATTTTCCACACAATCAATTTCATGGCATAAGGAGCATTTTTGTTCTATAAAATGTATTTATTTATATATATATATTTGTTTAATTGCTCCAACATCCCGTCATCGAATATTTCAACTCGGCATTTAAATCAATTCCCCATCTTGCGAGGCATAAATACTTAAAGCGACAGCAGTCGATTAGTGGGCTTCATTATGAGCATCATTTTCATTATGTTTATTATGAGCTCTACCCACGGGTATGAGAACCCGCCCACTTTGCCGACCCAATCGCCAAGGCAACGCCTGAGTTTCTGGCCGGTCTCGAGTTAATGCAATAAATAAAATTTCAACTGCACCGTCGGGCATGTTTAGCCGCATGAAAAGCGACAGTAAGCCGTGCCTGCATAAGAAGTTGCCTGTTTATCTTGGCCCGGTCTTTGCCTTTTGTTTATCCCGGTGTTCAGTGGAGGTCCTGGTGCCCCAGCAACACAACAACTGTCCCTGTTCCTGTTTTTTCCCATTACCCTTGCTCATCTGTTACACGAGAAAAAATCACAAAGAAAAATAAAAACCCAAAAGTATTAAATTAGCCGAAAATTTAATGAGACATATTTAATTAAATATAATTTGTTATACTTTTTAGAACGTTTTAAATTAGGCAGACTTAAAAGGTTAAATCAACATTTTTCCAATGTGTACTTCCCTGTCACTTGATGGCTGTTTTCTTTCAAAAAGTTGCCTTCTGTGCTGGCCTTGCTGTTGGCGCTGGGTATGGGCTTGGGTTTGGCTTTGGCCCGTTTGGTTAGCACAGTCGCTTGGCTGCCTGCTTGGCCAACTGCCCTAATGAGTTTACAAAAAGTTTTGCTTTAGCAAAATGCGCAGGAGTGGCGAGGAGTTGGCAGGAACTGCCCAGCATGTTATACAAATTGCAGGGACCCCGGACAAAACTGTCATCAACGTGTCGTCCTCCTGCAGCGGTTGCATGTGGACGTTGGATGGTGGACAGGGGGATGGAAGACAGTGGATCGTGGTCGAGTTAGGCTGCCAGGCATTTGTTTACCTATCCTATTTGCTCTGGCATGTTGCATTGTTGCCTGTTACTTGGCGACTGAGCGAAAGTTTTCGCATTTATGTTGCTGTAGTTGCCATAGAAGTTGCAGCAGAATATGCATTTTAATTAGTTTAGCAAAGTTGAGCAGCAGCAGCAGCAGCAACAAGAACAAGAACAGCAACTCCAGCCAGACAGAGTCTCCGTTTGCGTCTGGTTAATTGCGCAAATTTAATGGCTGCTGCTCCTGCATCTGTCGCTGCACTTTAAGGCCAAGGAAGTTGGCTGGCAAAAGTTTACCACCGCCTACAGCCTACAAGCAAATGTACCACAAAAGTTGTTAACATTTCACATTTCACTAAGTAGCAAATTCAATTAGTTTGTTGTCATCTCCTTGGGTCCCCTTCACGCCCCCTCATGCCCGAAGAGCATGTGTATGTTTTAGTAAATTACTTTTAATGCCCCCAAAAGTTGCCTTGCCTAACCATTCGGCTGTGCAATTTATGCCTGTCGTAATTTACTTAACTGTCTGGTGCATAAATTAATTTGTCTAAGCATAAATCTGCCGACTATTTGGCGCTGCATTGTGGCCGAAACGAGGCTGCAACTGATGGCAGGAAGGATACCTCATTAGGTTTTTCAATAAATTTAATTCAATATAAATAGAGTGCCGGCTCAGACGCTCAGCGTTCCGCTGCCAGTCAGACGTCTGCCGTCAGCCACTTCATCTTCGTCTGCGCTTGCATCCGTCGGGTTCTTTTGGCAACCGCCTCTGGCAGCTGCACTCGGGCAAGAACGACTACAGCAACGGAGCAGGAAGCAGCATCAAAGTTGCACACGTCGCCTTCAGAGAGGACTTAAGGCAGCTGATGCCGCTCCTGCTGCTCCATCTCCTGGGCAGGATGAAGCTGCAGCTTCCACTACAACGCTTGGCAGGCGAAAATGCTTTAGGCTATACACTGGAGAAAAAGGGTGGATTTTTGAGCTGTAATAAAAGAATTTTTTTATTATCAAGCCAAAATGTATTACTTTCCTTTACTGATTTCTTAACCGAATGAAAATAAATATTACATTTTTTAAAACTTCAAAATCTTTTTATCAGTGTTCCTGTGCCATACCCCCTGCGCTTCCTGATCCCTTTCGAGGACCACCATACCAAACTCCCTCCTCCATTTTATGTTTCTTAGCCTGAGCCGAGCTTAGCCGAGCGTTTGTAACGCGTAAATTTGGCGCTCCAAAGCGGTGATTATGTCGTCGTCGTCGTAGTCTGGTTCTGCTTCACAGTTTCCCCCCGTGACTCTACTCCTCCAACCATCTCCTTGGCCAATTTTTCGAGCTGACTGCAGCGGTGGCGCCGGCAACGTCATCACTTGAATAAATTAAGTTGCTGGCAAACAGCTAAATGAAATTGTTAATTTAGAGCTGCACAACGGAGCGTATGCTTGATGTGTCTGCGTTACCTGGGCAACCGGAGTTACTGGTCTCCCCGCCGTCTGGTTTCCAGTATTCCGTGCCCAGTGTCCGCTAAGCCGCTTATGGCATGATCCCAATCCTACGGGCAGCATATGCTCACATCAATGGAGCCCTCCAGTATACTCCCTGAGCTCATCTGAGCTCCTTTATTTCAGCTTTGTCTCTGCAGCTCGGCATCTGCACCGTAATTGCATTTTAAATGTTCGTGCAGCTGCAAATGGGCAAATGATTACCGGAATTTATATTAAACTTTAACCCTCAGTCACTTAATTAGCCCGACTTCGACTTCAGCTGCAGTTTCGATTGGGCGTTAACTACTTTTTCATATGACCATCAATCTGCGGCATGGCCAAGTTTCGTGGGTGGCTGGGTGTGGGTTCGTAGAAACCGACACCTAACTACCAACGGGGCCAAGACAATAACAAAATCGAAAAGAAAAAGGAAAAGTAGAACTTTCTGCTGAGAGAGAGAGAGTCAACTTGGAAATATATTGAAAAATGCAGTACTTCGGTTTTTTTCACCGAGACTCTTTCCCCCCTTTGCCCACTCCTTGGCAAACTTTTGTGCAACTTGGCTGCGTCTGTCGTCCTGGTTTCCCCACTCGATCCTGGCCCTTTTGCCTTTGCCTAAACTGACGTAAATTTATAATGACAAATTGCATTTGGCGCAAATGCGGCGAGTAAAAAAAAAACGTGGGCCAGCGATTCCACAGCAGTCGTGGCCAATTGAGCGTGAAAAATTATGAAGCTGGAAGAAAAACGGATTAGGCCAAAGCCAACCAGCCAGCAGCCATCCAATGAGAGACAATCAAAGTGCTTAATTACAGCTTAAATCCGCTTAAATGCAAATTCTTTCCTCTGATTGCTGATTAAGCCAAATGAAAAATGAATGCGCCAGGTAAAGAAAACCCAGACAAAAGTGAAAGACTTTCACAAAACTATTGAAAAAGGGAGGGAATCAATAGAATCAAGATAAACTTGAAAAGAGATGGCACAATGAAAGTAAATTTATTGATTTGAAGTTCCTTTAATGAATAGAAAATGCTAATTTATTCTTAGCTTAAAGGCTTAGGTATGTAGGCATTGAATAAGTTAAAAAAGAAGCCGAAAACATGGAACAAATTCTGATTATTCTTTTCTTGTTAAATTTACCAAAGCAAATCCCATAAGATTACTCTGACACTTCACAATATATATTTATTTATTTATTTTTAACCTAGAAAATAGAAACCATATACTAGATAAATAGAACTTGCACACCCTGCTTGTATGTACTATTTGCAGGAAGCGAAACTCGCCTTAATATTTACACTTTCAATACCCCAACCTACCCACAACCATCAGTCAAACCAGCAACAAACAAAAGTGGCTTAAATTTCACCAGTGCCCTGTCCGTGTTGCTGCTGCTCCCGTTCATGTTTGCAACATTGTCGTGCTGCTGTGTTGAGGTCAGGGTTCATACTCTACCCATACTTTACCCACCGGGCATGGGCGCCACCGCGTCAGGCGATAAAGCAAAAAATGACACGTTTTTAATTTTATTTCACACCTACACACAAGGGCGGCGGCAACAAGAACCCGCTGCCATGTAATCAAAACTGCAAGAGAGCAACAGTCACAACACAACAGCAACAACTGCTGGTGACAACAATGCAACTAACTGAAAGGCAGCAACAGCAAGTTGAAGGCGCTAGCTAGACCAGGGCCAGAGAAAAATTAGATTTATCACGAGTGGTTGCCGGAAAAATTGTCAACATTTATCAACATTTTTCAACGGGGCAGCGGCAGTACGCGGACGTGTTTTTCTCTTCTTTATTTTTGGTTGCAGGCCAAGAAACTAAGAAATACAGAACAACAATAAGAAAGTCTGGCCAAGACTAAGCCGAGTTTCCTGGCTACTGCTATAGGTCCAAACTGTGCCAACACCTCTCGCGTGGGAGTTTGCTTCGCATTTTGATTAATATCCACTTGCAGGATGCAACAGCAACATCACGAAAACTGGCAACTGGCAACGGGCACCTAGCATCTAGCAACAGAAAGCAACAATCGCAACATGAAAACAAGAAAGCAGGAAAAGATTCTGGCCAGTCGTCCAGTTGCCACTGATTGTGAAAAGTGGTCACGATGATGACAAAAATTCACTGGCGAAATGAAAACAAAGTTGCCTGCCTTTCAGCCAGTGTGTAGGTGCTACTCTGGGCCAGAGAGAGAGTTGGCCAATCTCCACTCTTCACTCTAGTGAAAGCAGCCTGAAAAGAACTTTCCCAAAACACATACACACACACACACACACAAACAGAGACACACCGAAAAAAGAAAAGTGGCAGAGCCTTGAATGCGGTTTATATTCTTTTGACTGGTTTATTTGATTTGGCAGCCAAGGAGTAGGAATGAGCTAGAGAATTGTGAGAAATTGCTTGGGATTTGTGTGTGGCAAATTGAGTTTCAAGCATTGAACGCCATTCGAGCTGAAAAAAGACACAGCTGCCATAAACTTTAATCATTTTAGGCCAAAATTAATTAAGGTAAACATGAAATATTTTGCGGATCAATTTCCTGACTAATCCTGGCCCATTTTGTTTTTTGGGCCTCATTTTCATTAGGCAACTCAAAAGCGAAACACAAACATTAGATGAAACCCTAACCTAGCAAGGCCACTACTACTCTTTACCCTTCGCCTGCACATAATCGCATTTTAAACTTTTTCAATAATAAAACTTTTCTAAACGGATTTCCCGCTGGACTCGTTGCGCTTTAATAATTTTTTCCGTTTTTTATCTTTTTCATTCCAGGCAGCAGGCGGTTTTCAGCTGATGAGCAACAAAGGACAGAGTGCATCGGAGCCATTAATTTAAATTGGGTATTATGAGCGCAATAGCAACAAGGACAGAAAGGTTAGTCAAGATCTAGCAAATATGTATATAAAAGGGTTTAAAAATCAAAGGAATGAAGACTCATGGCTTGCTAATAATCTCTGAAGTTTCCGTTTTCCGTAAAAAAGTTTACAAAATAAGATAAAAGTTATAACCTCCGTAAATAAATATAAAAACTGATTATATTTTAAAAAATATTCGTTAACAACTACAGTTTCTTAAACGGATTCGAATAAGAAGATAAATAAAAACAATCTGAGTTTTATTTTCCTGTTCAAACATAAAAACGAGATTAAACTTAAATTTGATATCATAAAAATATCTATTAAAGAAGTAGCTAACTCCGCTTTTATTATGATCATTAAATCAGATTGCCTTTCTATAATATTGTTTTTCCTCCATTCTCCCATAATATTAACTTTCGTTTACGTTTTTTGTTTTTAATTCAGCTCATGTACGACAAGTCAAAGAAATCGTGGAGTCAGCGGCTCAAGACGCTCGGCAGCGGTGACAGCGTGGACAAGAACGCTTCTCTAGCCGCTGTCAGCGGGATGCAGGCCATGCAGCAGTTGCAGCTGCACATGCAGCAGCAGCACCAGCAACTGCAGCAGCAACATCAGCAGATGCAGCAGCAGCAGCAACAGCAACAGCAGCAGCCACACTTGCCCCACCATGGGCACCACCAGATGGTGAGCGCCTATCAACTGCCACCGGTTTCCGCCGCCGAATTTCTGCCCAGCGCCCTCTCACGTTCGATGAAGTACGCGGAACCCTGGATCTATGGAACTGTTCGAGGGATTCCAGCACGTCCATCCTATGGCTATCATCCCCATGCAGCTGCCATTTTCGCGGCCACAGAGGGAGTTCCGGGAACCACAGCTTTGGCCGTGGTGATCTGCTCCTGTGCCGAGTATTTGAATGGCACGAAACGTGACGTCAAGAAGGCGAGCGTGTGCAAGAAGTGTAAGGGGTCCAGGTTACCCCTGGCCACCATTGGCGGTACCGGCGGCACAGTGCGTCTGCCAGCTGTCAGCGGTTCGAGCAACTCGCGACGACCCATGGCGGCCACCATGCGTGTGGTGAGTGCCACGAAAAAATCACGTCCCTCTATCCTGGATCCGCAGAAGGATCCCTATGACCTGATGCGACGCACGCGACTCTTGTCCCCGGAACCCAGTTCCAAGGATGCGGACGGAAAGTCACGTAGTCGCACTGAAACGGGGGGAAATCAGCAGAGGGGACGCACCCGAACTAGGGCACCTCCTCCACCAGCCCCGAGCCAGAAATCTCAAGGGGTAATGGTTTCCGCAGTACCCGATCCCACGGACTGTTGGCTCATGGAGGATAATGAATCCTTGCTCCAGAGCAGCGGCCTGGCTTCTCGGGCCTCTAGCCGGCGATCCATACTCCGTTGCCACGTCAATCCCTATGACCTGATCTCAAGCGAAAATGGAAAGCTCCAGAGTAACCTAAGGAAACCCCATGACCCCTTCAATGTGGCCGATGCTCAGCTTAACGATGACGATCTGGAGCGAAAGAGAAGCACCAGCAAGTTCTACAGCGGCAATGTGGCGGCCATAGCTGGCCAACGTATTAGCCTGGGCGATAAATCCGGCGATAGCTCCGATCCAGGTGACAGCTATGAGCGAATTATTATAGTTTCTGGAGGAGAAACGTCGTCTAATGGACCGCGACGACCGCCGCGCAATAAAAAAGCGGATGAGCCAGAGGAAATGCCCGCGGCAACAACAGCAGGAACGGCATCAACTCCTGCAGCAGTTGCAGCAGCAATAGCAACAGTCAAGCCCAAGGCTGTGACTCTACTGGAAGTGGAGCAAAAAGTTGAGGACAAAGGTTCGACATATACAGTTCTCACTGTAACGCCCACTTCGCCAGGCATCAAGTCTATATTAAAGCGCCCCTCTACTCTCGAGTTGCCTGGAGTGGGAATAACTCCTTTGCCACTTCCTCCGAATGACAATTCTGGATTGGTGACGCCCGCGGGCAAGTCACAGTTCTATATTCCAACGCCAACGGGTACAGCTGCCACGCCCACGCCCAACAGTATGACGCCCATGGCCACATCAACACCTACACCCACTGCCATTGGTGCAGCAATCACGCCGGGTTCACGCAAAAAAGTGCAATTTATGGTCGAGGATAAAATCATAGCCACGACTGCGACAGCGGCGACAACTGATGACAGCGATGCCAGTGTTGCTGCAACGAAAACAAACTACGAATACTACAATCGCAAGCGAAATGCAGCAGCAGCAGCAACATCAACAGCAACATCAACAGCAGCAGCAACAACAACAGCAGCAGCAACAGCAACAACAGCAGCAGCAACATCAACGGATCAGCAGGAGGCAACGCTGTTTGCGGCTGACGTTGATGATGAGCATAACTTTACAACTTCCGCTGAGCCAACTCCGTTCATAAAGCCGGATAGTTTGCATTATGAAGATGTTCTGCCCGGGCCCCAAATATTTGACAGCAACGAACAGCCAGCTGCCGGTGGTTCTTCCTCCTCCAAATTATTACTGCCAGCGGACGGGTCGCCGCATGTCACTGTGAATCCTGTCAGCGTTTTACCAACTGGTGAGTACTGCGAATTCCGACCTTCCATGAAACAGTTGACTTTTAATTAAGGACTGCCAGTTTGAATTTTCGCAAAGGTCAACAGTTTTTCTGTTTTCAGTCTAGGTTTCATTAGTTAACTCGCTGGCATTGGATTAACAAGCAAGTAAATTAGAAAAAATACTTTTCAGGAACTTAAACTAGGATTTCTTTAAAATAACTTACATACCTATTTAAATGCCTCAAAATTCCTTTAAATATTGAATTATTTCACTATTTTTCTAAGTGTACCATCTACAAATGACGTGTTAGTTCATTCCTAAGACACTCCAATTCGCCGTCTAGTATTTTACTCCCATTTTAACTATCTATCTGCCTGGCTGTCTGTCATTTATACACTTACTCACTGGACTCCGTTTGCTTTTGAGTGAAAATGAAAATGCTGGCATTGTTTGCTAATTGCTCATCATCACGGCACGGTCTACGAAGTTTGCCACATTGCACATTACGTATACGCAAAGTTGGCGGCGACACTTTATGCATTATACAAATTCCCTAACAAGCATGAAAACTGTTTTGGCCAGGGGTTGTGTGAGAGCCAATTGAAATGCTGACATTTGAATGGGTATGGCTATGATGGGGAGAGTGGGAGTTGAAGAACAGAGGGGTATGGGGACAGAGGATAGGGGGTCACACCTGGTGCAAGTTCACGCAGGGGTTAACACCATAATCAAGCATCAGACGGAGCCGCAGTCAGACCCTTTGACACAGTCTCCCTGTCAACGGCACACGCTCTGCCGCCCACCCACCGAATCACCAGGTAAGCCTCCAAGCCACCCACTGAGCTCACCCCAACCGCCTAGTGAACACCACCCACATCACGTAGCTGAGCGGCAAACAAAACGACAGTTACAACTACAACGGAAACGACTAGCAGGCCAAGTCAACGTGACATTTGCACCCACAAATGGCAGCGACGCACGGCGATATTCCAGCGAACTACTACTATTCACATTCGCATTCACATATGCACCATGCTTACTCCTCCAGGTACATGAAGCGGTTGGGTTGGACGGGGGGAGCGTTGGGAAGGCGTGGCACACATGTTCGACTTCATTCAAAGCAAATTAACAGCCGGCACACACAGGGGTTAAGCCGGCGGGGAACACACTTCATAGACAGACAAAAACTTTTCATTCAATTAAATTTCGACGGTGGAGAAAAACTTGTGTCCATCAGGGAATTGAGTTGAGTTCGGTTGAGATGAGTTGAACGGAATGAAAGTTAACTGAATGGGTACCAGGATTCACTGGCCTACATTGGCCACCTGGAGCAAATATTTCAATTAAAGTTCAGTACTTATTAAGCTTTAATATTGGCTTTTGAGTTTTTCCGGAAGTAATTAACATTAAAAAAGTTAATCAACTATTAAAGGATATTACTTTTGAAAGGTTTTAAGCACTTTGTTAGCATAGTTATTTCTACAAGATCTAAGCTTAATTTTCTTATTATTTGCAAACCTCATTTATTTCTTGAGCTGCCACATAAAGCCTTTCTTTCGCCAGATAGATAAAAGTCTTTCTCCTCATCTCAAGTATCCCAGAAATGCGGGCAGACAATGCCAAGCCATCGCGAATTTCGCAGTCACCTCATAAGACAGCCAAGAGACCCCCAACCGACCACAATTGCGATGACTTCGCCTATGGCTGTCTACTTTATTGTGGCCCAAAGGAGTGGGCCGGCGGGAGGAGCAACAGCGTCATAAAGGTGACATGGTCGTGGCAATGGCGCCCACGCGTCTCCGCCAAGACAATTACAAAGTTCCTCCTGCGCTGGCTGCAATTTGTTGCATTGTTTGCCGGGAGTTAAAGCACTTGGAACTTTGCAAACTATTTTTGATTTGATTTTTGAAATTGGTTCGCTACGGGCGCTTAGCCAACCACCCACCCACTATATTCCAACCATCAGGCGACCGCCTCCCCAGATGATTTATGGCGCACGTGTTGCATTCACCGGGTCTCAAAAAAAAATGGTAAAAAAAAAGGAGGAGAGTGGGTCGCCAGACGGGCCAAATCGCAGTGAAAGGCATTAAAGTGATAGAGTCTGGCCGCTCGACGGTGAAATTTGCATTTCTAATGCCCCAACGCCAACGCGGCAAACTTTGAGTCATGACCATGGCCTGAACTCGCCGGATTATTAATATTTCATATTTGTCTGTGATGGGCGAAAATTGCGCCTCGATGTCCGACTTCCGAATGGAATTCAAAAGAAAACTGTAATATTTTAAGTGGTTCAGACTTGGGCAAAAGTTTATGACTCTCCATTAAATCGATGGGGGAATTCGGTAGTTCCAGATACAAATTTTTATTCATTGGATTTTGTTTAAACTTTATGTTTCTTTAGTATGTATTAATCCTTTCCTACTCCTATTAAATCACACATCCTATTAAATATACTTAATAGAATAGTAGCCAAAGTAAATATATAACCTTAAAGCAGAAAATATATTTAATAAGCTAATTAATAACAGCCACTCTTTATTAATTGCATAAATGCCAAGCGGCAAACTTGTGAGTAACAAAATTAAATTGCTTTGATAAAGGGCCGAAAGTAGCATTTAATTGAGCAAATCATAAAATTATTTAGACCAAGCTTCGAGTGGCATTGCGTTTGGGAAACATTTCCAATTAACACGCTGCCGACAGCTGAGTTTCAAAGGAATATCTACCCAGGTAGACGATATTAAGTCATTAGCATTTCTGCAATCCCCCACTTTGTTTTTCTCCCTTCTTTAGCCATTGAGGGAAATTTTTGCTTTGCTTTCCTGCTCATTGCAATTTGCTTCACTAATGTTTCTTCTCTGTTTTCAAACGTCGCTCCATTCATTTAATGGCGTCTGCTTTAAATTTCTTTTCACTCTCCAACGTTCTGTCTCTATCCATTAGTCGCTGCCCATCTCTTTCTCGCACTCAAATGAAGTGTGAATGGGAAAAGCGTTTGGAAATGAGATTTTTAAATATGGCCAGCAATTGTAATTCCGAATGCCAATAGCAGTAGAAGCAGAAACAGCAGTAGCAGTAGCAGCAGCAACAGCAGTGGCAACATCTACAGCAGCAACATTGTTACATTTTGCATTTTATATTGGCAAGCTCAGCGGAAGTTGAGCCTCATGTCTTCATGTACTTTGCATATTTACACTAATAGAAATTGTGGCAGGCAATTGAAAAAAGTTGTTGCCGCTGCTGCTGTTGCTGTTGCTGCATGGTGGTGCTATATGTTGCTGTTGCCACTGATGTTACTGTTGCTGCTGCTGCTACTGCTACTGCTGTTTTATGTGTGGCCATAAAAAGTGTCGCAGGCGGTTAAGGGGGAAGGCGTGGCCAGAAGGGCAGTTTTATGGCCCTGCTTCTTCTTGAGTTGCTGCTGCGGCTATTTTATTGTTGCGACAACAGCAACATCACTAGTGTGTCCAGGCTTCGGCCATTCCTCAAACTTAATATATCCTGTTTCCTGATTTTCATGACGTCCCTATAAGTGCCCAACAAGCTCTTGTCCAGCTATGGCCGCATTTTCTCGGTTTTCCTCGGGCTTACCCCCACAACCCATCCCCGTTAGTTGTTTTCCTCAACCCCACTAACCCTGTGTGCCATTTTCTGCATTTAAGTGCAATTCTATGCAAGAATGTGCCGACATGCATATTTGTGCTAAAGCCATTTCCCAGCTCTACTGGCCACCCCAGCTTTCCCCCCTGGCTTCTCTTCCTTTCACTCTCCCACAGCTGCCATAAAATGTTCGTTTTGCCAGCTAATGCATACAAATGCCTGATGCGCTTTTTGCATTACAACAAGAACAGCAAAATAAGTGAATGAAAAAGGAAAAAGGCAAGAAAAGGAGAAAGACATCTAAACAACAAACAGAATGGTAAATTTTCATGTGTGTAAGCGACAGGGGACATTCACTTTTAAGTTGGCATTCGAAAAAATCGCATTGAATCTTGAATCCAGAAACAATGAGGAAAAGTCTCGGAGACTTCTAAAAAGCCAAAAAAATGTGAAACACATGAAAGTGGGAAAAGGAAAAGTTGGAAAGGTACAGAGTAAAGTTTGAAGAGATTTTCTTTTAAGATGCTTTTAGTTAATGACTTCTCTTAAATTCTGACTAAAATCAATTAGCAATTTCTGGAAATTTTAATGAAAGTAAAGAACTTATTTTTAGTTTCTAACTTCTGAAATATATATTATTCATTTTTTTTGTAATATTTTAGCTTTTTTAGAAGACAGAACTTGCTAACCGATAATTTGTAAGACCTAGAAAATCTCTTATTTATGAATTTATTTCCCATGACACCAATAAATTCAAATACTATAGAACCGCACTCTTAACACTTTCTCAAAGTAAACTTAAATAAGAAATTAGCCAAGCCATAACCCCAGGAAAGTTTTCCTGTTTTCGGATAAGATTTGCCCATTTAAAGCTATTGTTGCCGCAGTTCTTCCGGTTTCTATATCAACTATTTCTATTTTTGGTTACTTTACTAATGCTGTTGTTGTGTCTGCCATCGATTTAGTTGCTAAATAAGTTAAATTTCAGCATCTGTGTTGGTTTTTTTCTTCGAAACAAAGCCACAAAGTTTGAGAGCGAGACAGGACAGAAGACAAATGAACTGCCATTCGGGATGCCTTGCTGCCCGAGCTAGAGGGATATATCAAGTGTCACTATCGATTTTGCACAGTGCACGTGAAGTAAGGAAAATCCATCACTGTGAGGATGGAAAAATATTTGGCATAATAATAAAAGTGCATGATGCATGCTGTCTATGGCCACTGGTCAATGGCCAAGGGTCTGTTGCAATTTTCCGATTACCAATGGACCTTCATTGTTGGTCTGGCTGCTGATTTTCCTGGATGATGTTGCCATTGCTCTTGGTCTCTTCGAGTTGTTGGCATGCTAAAGTTGCCTTTTGTTTTGGGGTTTTAAACAAAATGAAATTTTCTACCAAGCTCTCTTGAGAATCTTGGCCA